AGCCGATGCCCTTGCTAACTTAGGATCGTCGGTCGAGGACGAGGGAAGTTGTACAACTCATGAGATCGATAGTGGAAGAAGGCCATGCCGAGATAAACTCAACAATCCTAACTTGGGACTGGAGAAACAAATATATAGACTATCTAAAGGCCGAAAAGTTGCCCTCAGATCCAAAATAATCGAGGGCCCTTCATACGAAAGCAGCCCGATTTAGTTTATCCGAAGAGGGAACCCTATTTAGAAGAATATTCGATGGCCCGCTCGCGATATGTCTAGGGTCAGGAGATACCGAGTACATTCGGAGAGAAATCGACGAAGGCACCTGTGGAAATCATTCAGGCGTTGAATCATTGGTTCAAAAAATAATTAGAGTCAGCTACTACTGGATCGATATGAAAAAGGATGCGAAGGAGTTCGTACGAAAATGTGATGAATGTCAAAGACATGCTCCGATAATTCATCAACTCGGGGAGCTTTTGCATTCGGTTTTGTCACCATAACCGTTCATGAAGTGGGGAATGGACATCGTTGGCCCCCTTCCATAGGCACCCGGTAAGGCTCAATTTATATTGTTTATGACTGACTATTTTTTCTAAGTGGGTGGAAGCCCGGGCATACAAGAAGGTCAGGGAGAAGGAAGTCATCGATTTCATTAGGGACCACATCGTATGCCAGTTCTGAATGCCGACCGAGATCGTGTGCGATAACGGGAAATAATTCATCGGCAACAAAGTAAGCAAGTTTCTCGAAGACCATAAGATCAAAAGGATCCTATCAATACCCTATCACCCTAGTGGAAATGGACAAAAAGAATCAACCAACAAAACCATACTCCAAAACCTCAAAAAGAGGTTAACCGACGCCAAATGAAAATGGAAGGAAATCCTACCCAAGGTCTTATGGGCATACCGTACGATGGGGCCTCCCCGTTCTCACTAGTTTACGGCGCCAAAGCTCTAATACCGGTCAAAGTGGGGGAACCGAGTCTTACGTTCCGATATGCAATCGAAAGGTCCAACAACGAGGCCATGAATACGAACCTGGAAATGTTAGATGAAAGGCGCAAAGTCACCCTCGTCCCGTTGGTTGCCCAAAAACAACGGATCGAGAGGTATTACAATCGAAGAACCAACCTTCGACACTTCAATATCGGGGATTTGGTAGTAAGGAAGGTTGCGCCAAACACGCGAAACCCAAACGAAGGGAAGTTGGGACCGAACCGGGAAGGTCCGTATCAAATTATCGAGATCACCGGAAAAGGGTCCTACAAACTCGGAGCAATGAACGACGAGCAACGACCGAACAACTGGAATATAACTCACTTGAAACGATATTACTGCTAAGGTATGGCCCCATTCATTTCTTTTATTTACATTTTGAACTAACACTTGCAGGTAACCAACAAGGAACGATACAATTTTTAGGCCTGAAAACACGCGTTGTACTCTTTTTCCCTTGGACCGGTTTTGTCCCAAATGGGTTTTCTGGCAAGGTTTTTAACGAGGCAATAATGGATCGTGCTAACTTAGAATCGAAGGTCGGTCATGAATCGGTGTCAAAGATCGCACCAACAGTATTCGAGGCTTCTCTATGATCAACCTCGAACACTGGGGGGCATTACCCTCGGATAACGACTTTAGCAAGGAAAGAGACTGTCATTGAACGGTCTCGGTTCGATCGATAGGATTTACTTTAAGGGCCAAACGGTCAAATGAACTGTGCCCGCATATAATGCTCGAGCCCTGGCACAAAGCATGTACACATGTGTAATTATTACGCATAATAATAAAAAAGAAGTCTCTACCTTGCGGATAAATATTTTGTCCCTTAAAAAATTTCCTATTTTCATTTCTTAAGGAATTTCCTACATCCGACCCCCTAAAGGTATTGAGCCCAACGACCGCCTTAATTCGAGTTCAAACGATCACTCCCATTCGGGGACTGTTATATTAGGCAAGCCCAGATAACTTGGGGTAACAAGCCCACTGGGCAACACCCAAACTAAAAAGTCTACGGCCATATTAAAATGGCTCGGAGACATTCGAGACCAGTAACAAAAATAAGGCCTTCAAAATTTTCTCAACCGGTTCTACATGCTACCCTCGGCAAACTGTAATCTAAAACATTACAAGTACTTTGGGGAAAAGTTTTCGGTCATACCAAACCCCCACGATGCCTTAAACAAAATAATTTCGAAGGCAAGGCCTGTTTGAACCCACGAACATGACCTAACTATTTCATGCTAAGGCATTTCGATCTTTGCAAATTTAAATAATAAAGCAAAGGAAAATAAAACTCAGAGATTGTCGAAGGGAAAAAAAATCCTTGTATTATATATACATATAGTCTTTACAAAGGTTAAACGACTTTGACAAAAATTACAAAAGTACACGACTACAAAAATACAAAAAACAAAATAAAATGTACAAGGCACTTAAACTATCTGGTCTTCACCGGGGGCGCCTCATCACCGGGACCATCGGGGTCCTATTCACTCCGGACTTGCCGGAACCCTCAGAATCTTCCTCTTCTTCATCCTCGGGGCAAGCCAATATTTTGGCCTCAGCCTCAAGCCTCTTAGCGATCTTGATCTCGGCCGACAAATCAAAACCCCGAGCATGAACCTCCTTAAGGGCCTCCCTTCGGGACTGCCGCTTCTCGTACTCGACGATGTCTTTCAAGCGGTCCTGGGATGCCTCGGCATCAGCTTTATACTGGGCTACCATCTAGTTGGCATCGGCCTTGGTTATTTCAGCCACCGACTTGGCCACTTTGAGCTCCTTGGCAAGGGCTTCCCGATCGGCAACAGCCGAGCCCAGTTGAGATTGGAGTTCTTTGGCTTTCTGGGACTATGCCTCAGCCTTCTCCCTCATCATTCAAAAGTTGAGCCTCCGCAGAGGCAAATTACGCCCGGGCAGTTTCCTTTTTCGAGGCCAAACGATCCATTTTTCCTTACCACTCCTCGGCCTCGACCTTGATAACGTCCATCTCAGCCCGAAGCTGGTCGATCCGATCTATCTTCTGTTGGACCTGTGGGTTCTGACTGTTAGTTACCGAGTCTAGCTCATCGTCACTAACCTCAAAGACTTTTACTTGTTCCACCAAGTCGGCATGTTCTTTCTTCGCCATATCCAACTCGGCTGGAAGACTCTTAGCCTCTTCCTTGTGTTTCTCACTGAGAAGTTTGTACATGTCTCTCTTCTCAGTAAGTTATTTGGCTTCGGCCTCGAGGAGGCTCAGCTCTTCTCGGAATCGGAGGAAGGTCTCGTGATGAAGCACCAAGGCCTGCGAATATAAGGAGAAATATTAAAAATCACTAAGTAACCAAAGCTGGAAGATGAAAAGGTTAGTAACACCTTACCCGATTCAACGCCTGTTGTGCTTTGTTGAACAAGCATGGGGAATCCAGCTCGTTCATCTTAACCTGGTCCTCTTCAGTCACCAGGCACCGAAGGTAACTAGCTACCCCGACGGGTGCAAAAAGGACCTGGGCGTCCTCCGGAATGCAGATAATAATCGACCGCTTCTGACCGGGATCGGCACTCGGGGCAGGGAACCGGTTGACCAGTCTCGGGTTTGAACTAGACCCACCTGCCCCCGAGGGAAGGTTTTTCCTTGGTACTTCTAAGTCACCCAATCTGGTGACATCCTCCGTGGCGGTAGAGTCCACGCCATCAAAAAGGTTTTGGAGCAGATTGTTCACTCCATGGACCCCCTCGTTCGATCGCTTCTTCGTCGTTTGAGCTTCAACAAACATTGAGTCCCTGTATGAAGGCGATCCCGTTATGTCAATAATGCCGGGTAGGACAGAACCGGCATTTTGAGGGCTCTCGACCCCCACTGTTGCATCAGCCTCTTGTATTTGTGAGGGATTGGCCTCTGTTGTTCCCTCCCCGGATGGCACCCGTTGCTCGGGGGCTGATGGCTCTCGGGCCACTAAAATTTTATCCTCTTCAGACTAGTCCCTGAGATGGTGGAGTAAGTTTGAGTCAAGCACTCGGGAGCTGGAGGTTTCCTTCGGCTTGCGGACCAGCCTCCTTCTCGGTTTCTTTTTCTTCGAGCTTGGGGAGCTCGGAGCCCTCCTCTTTTTCTTTTCTCCGGCCTGCACCAGAGTAAGGGACTCAATAGGCAAGTCCTCGTCGCCAACCTGAGGCCTAAGATCGACATCCTTAGGCAAACATGAGATAGAAAGTAAAGAGAATTAGGACTTGATAGTAAAAGGAGAGGCCTAACACGGCCAGATCGGAAAGGGGATCTTACCATGGGAACAAGCCTCCCAACGACCCTTCGAGAGTTCGCGCCACGAATGCTCGGAGTAGGGCATCTGAGAAACAATTCCCTCGACCCACCTCTCAAGTCGAGGAATAGCTTTGGAACCCGAGCAACGGCTGCACCATCACGAACACCAATAAGAAAAGGGGAAGTAAACATAAAAATCAACATTCGAAGGGAATTTCCACTTACGTTTTGTATTCCACTTCTCGGGGAGCAACATGAGTTCCACCGGAATTAGGTCCGAGATTCTCACCCAAACAAAACAGCCTTGCCAGCCTCGATCTCGTTCCTCATCGATACTAGAGAACGAGGCTTTGCTGGCCCGGCGTACAAGCTTTATCAACCCCCCTCGAAATAGTCAGGGACTGTACAAGTGAAGCAGGTGATCCACGGTGAACCGGCAACCGTCGATTTTGCTCATGAAGAACCGGAGGAGGATCACTATCCTCCACATTGAAGGATGGATCTGACTAAGCCACATCTCGTACCTCTTGTAGAAGTCTATGATGACCGGGTCCACCGGTCCCAATGTGAAGGGATAAGTATAAACACTCAGGTATCCCTCGACATGGGTGGTAATGGCCTCCTCGGGGTCAGGGACCACTATTGTTTTTTTGGCCCGTAGGGAGGACCTCTTCGGTAATCGAACAGTTGTACCTCGAGAAGTCTTCGCATCGGCCCAGTACAGAAGAGGCATTTTCAACCTTAAAATCATTATTTACCAATCATCCTTCGAGGGTGAACATTTTCAAAGGGGGTTCCTGTGCTGGTTCATCGACGCCAGTACGCGAAACAGTTTCTTTTGCCTTAGTTGCCAGGCGCGAAGCAGAATGTGTTTCTTTTTGGGGAACGGTTTTTGAGGTCTTTGCCATTTCTTTGAAAAATGGAGGAGAAATAGAGGAAGAAAGGAAGTTGGAGGCTTGAGATGAAGATGTAAGAAAATTCTTGCAAAAGATCCCAAATTAACCAGAGTATAATCACCAGAGAGTATCAAAATTTTAAAGATACGAGGGTAGAAGGTTTGGATGTAAAGTTAAAATGAACAAATGATGGGGTATTTATAATTTTTTAACGGCGGTTCACATCCAGGAGTGGCCGACCGGCAACTAACAAATATTTAATGCCATTAAGACTTGACTGACGAGACGTTTCGTTTATTTTTTCATTTTTGTTGCAGGGTATCGAAGTAAGAATCGGAAGCTCATATCGTTTCTCATCGTCTACTCTACGAAAAACGAGGGGACTATCTGTATACGGTCGAAATCGAGTTCGCCTACTACATGGTAGGTCAGGCTCAAAACTTGGCAATAAAGGACTGAAGGTTGACTCCAAATCCCACCAGACTAGAACCCGGGATCAGAACACCTGCCTTCGGGCTCGTAATCCCGGAGTCGACCTTAACCCCGTATGAGCTCGAAGAAATATTGTTAGCATTACCAATAGAAGACCGAAATATCTGTGACCGGTCGGATATTACGGCGGGAATCTCGTCATGTATCAATAAAGAACCGGCGATCAGCAAATCAAGATATTTTTACCTTTTATAAAAATTATACCTAAAGTAGGACTCCTCTACTATATAAAGGGGGTCTAATAATTTATTTAACAGATTGTAACACGCAAAGCAATATATTATTATTTCTCTCTTTAAGCTCCTATTCTACTGTATCTTGATACTGATCGAAGGGCATCCAGTTCAAGGGTGGCAGTTTTGTAGAGCTTCATCTTTGTGGCTCAGAAAAATAACCGAGGTGAATTTAGAAAAATCATCTACTATAACAAAAACATACTTTTTACCACCTATGCTAACAGTTCTAGTAGGTCCAAAGAGATCCATATGCAATAGTTGAAGAGGTTTTGAAGTGGAGACAATATTTTTGACTTTAAAAGAGGATCTGGTTTGTTTTCCTAGTTGACATGCATCACAAATTTGATCTTTAGAAAAATCTAGTTTTGGAAGACCTATGACAAGATCGTTTTTATAAAGATTATGAATAGTATGTATGCTAGTATGACCAAGTTTTCTATGCCATGCCCAGGGGTCATCAAGAATGGAAGATAGACAAATCTGATTACTAGAGCTTTCCAAGTTACTGATAGTAAAAACATTTTTTCCCTATTTCCAGAGAGAATAACTTTACATGATTCATCTTCAATAAACCAACCATGTTTTTTGAACCGAACCTCATAGTCATCATCACATAGTTGACTAATGCTGAGAAGATTGTACCCAAGTTCTTCAACCAGATACACTTCATCTACATCACATGTTGAGCTGAGAGAAACTTTTTCAACGCCAATTACATTTCCTTTTGATTTGTCTCCAAATGTAACTGTTCCTCCATCTAGTCTGGTGATAATTTTGAATAATTGTTTGTCACCAGTCATATGTCTCGAACACGCACTGTCAAAATATTATTTTTCTTTTTGATTCTTCTTGCGGTGTTCCTGCAAAACAAAATTACTTATTTTTAGGTATGCAAGCCTGTTTGGGTCCTGAATGGTTAGACTTCTGAGTGTTAGCTTGACTAATGGATTTAGGTCGCCATACCCATCTGCTGTTGTCTTTGATCCTGCAACGATAAAAAGTGTGACCAGGTTTTCCATAGTAAAAACACAATGAATTTTTTTTGATTTTTAGAGTCTCTTTCTGCTCTGATTTTGTTCCTGCACTGGTTAGTGTTGTGACCATTATTACCACAATAAGAGCATCCCAGAGAGTTTCTAGTTCTAATCAAAGATGTATGAGGAACAGTCTGATTTGATTTGACAGAACTATGACTTGTGGATTTTAGTAATCCATTCAGTTGAAGTTTAAGTTCATTAACTTCATCTTGAAGCGTGTCACGCTCAATTTCACATACTTCTAACTTCAGGGCCCAATCTTTCTTTTCTCTTTGGATTTTTCTGAGTTCTCCTAAAACTTTTTCGATTTCTGTAAGAGCAATATCCACAAAATCTTGAAGCTCATACCAGTTGGGATACGAAGGAAGACGTACCTCACTGGTTCCTTTGTCTGCCATAAAACAGAGTTCGTCGGAGTCTTCTTCCTCATCTGCTTCATTTTCTGCCATGAGCTCAGGCTTATCTGAGTCTTTATTGCTATCTTCTTTTGTGACCATGAAACACATATTTGCAATTTCTTCATGGTCATATTCTTCTTCATCGCTACAGGCTCCACAAGACTTCTTCTTTTGAAAGTTCTTGCTTAGTTTTTTTTTCAGTTCTGGACAATCAGCTTGAATGTGTCCGTATTTTCCACATTCATAGCATCTTCCATCATTTTTATCATTTTCATTGCTCGTCCTTCCTTTTCTGAAGTTTGATCTACCTCTTCTGCTATATCTGTTTTTCCCCATCATGCTTGTGACAATTTGGGAGAGCATGGCTATATTTTCATCATGTTCTTCCTCCTCTTCTTCATTTTCTGATTCAGCAATAGTTGCTTTAAAGGAAACCGTTTTCTTCTTTCTTGTTGAATTTGGCTGTCCAAGTGAGTTTTCTTAAAGGCAATTAGATCACCTCTAAGTTCATCATAGGACATTTTGTCAAGGTCCTGATATTCTAGAGCAATAACTTTGGGCTGCCAAATTGTGGGTAGACTTCTAAGGATTTTTCTGACCTGTTCTCCACTTTTGATTGGTCTACCAAGAGACTTTAAATCTTCAAGGATTTTACTGAACCTGGAGAATATTTCTTCCACTGATTCTCCATCTTTCATTTGGAATAGTTCATAGTCATGAACTATAAGATTGACCAAGGCTGAAATTATCTCATTCGTGTGGTTTGAATTTACTTTGTCATTATTTATTTCAATTGCAACTTAATTTATCGCATTGTGTTAAATTAATTCACGTATTTTTAAAATCACGTACAAATTCAATTATTATTCGATTTTGAGAGTAAACACTCCCCGATCACGGCTCTCCCCCGAATCAATGTGAGCTGTGCATCGGATTGACCTTTTGTATCGAATAAAAAAAATTGGTTATTTGGCCAAAATTCTACTTCTATTGTTTATTCATCATTTGACTGGTACTCTATAGAAAACGCCAAAACCTATTCTTTCGAAACGCTTCCATTACTGCAATAATCCAAAACCCAGTCCTTTTCCTCCTCTTTCAGTAATAAAACCAAAAGCGTCATAGCCATAGTTCTGCTTTCTGCATTAATTCCACCTCTCCCTTTCCACTATATTTTCTCTGCTCTTTCAATTTTTCAAATTGTGAATGATATGCTTGGTATTTTCTCGCCATTTCAATTTTCTTATCCGTATTTTCTTTCGAAATTTCTCGGGAAAATTAGTATTTGAATTTCTGGTACTTCTAGAACCTTCATCGCTTCTCCAATGGATAATGCAGCGATTCTAAAACTCGCAGTCTCAAATGCGTTGGGAAAGTTTTACGCATTGTTGAGTTGTGCTTTGTGCTTCTTCTGTTGTCATGGATTTCCACTCGCTTACCTTTCGCGGTGAAAATCTCCGGCGAGTATTTCCGTCAACTCATCGGTGTACTACTTAGTCCTTGCTTCATCTTCATCCTATGCAACTTTATCGTCCTCACTCTCCTCTTGAAGTCCGGCGGCCTCTTCTCCGGTGACTACTCTTCCACATTCCGCAATGTCGATGAAACTGAACTCTACGACTCGTTTCTCAAAAAGTCGGAGTTTTCGTCTAATTTTTCGTCCGAAAAGGAAGATGTAGAGATTGTGTACGAAGACAAACAGATGATATTTGAAAAGAGCTCAGTGAAAAATGAGGATTCACGTGGTTCCGACGAAGAACCGGAAATGGCTAAAGTTAAGGCAATGGAATCAAAAGGTCCGATAAGGAGAACGCAATCGGAGAATCTGGATAGGAAGAGTGTAGAGGAAATTTGCGTGAAGTTTCGGAGACCGGAGACAGAGAAGTGCGTGAAAGTTGAAAATTCCGGCGAGGTATCGCCGTCAACGGAGACAGCGTATGGAGTTGACGGATTAAGTAATGAGGAGTTTCAGAAGGCTATAGAAAAGTTTATTGCTAAGCAAGTCAAGTTTCATCAACAAGAGAAGTTGGCTATTGTACTTCATAGCCAAGCTTAGCTAACTTCTAAATTCAAAAACAAAAAATGAATACTGAAAATTAGTGCGAATTATTAGTTTTATTCATAAATAATAGGAGCCGTAGATTTGGTATTGAAGCAGGGGGTACTAATTGATCTGAGCCGTTGATAATTGCATAGAGAATGAAGATTCCAGAAGTTCCCAATGCATGCAGTTGATCGCTGCTTTTAGAATACTGAGCTGGTTTTTAACTTCAGAGAGATTATTAGAAAGTGTTTTGTTTTTGATTTTTTTCGTTTTCTAGGTTAGTATTGAAACGGAGAGATGGAAATAGGGAATGTATTCTCAAATTCCCACTAGCTATTGTATGCTAATTTCAAGGTATCTTACTATCCAATATTGCCAAAACTTCGTTTCTTGTTTTGGAAAGAGGAATATCTATATTTATCTCGAGTTCGAAAATGGGCGGCACCTGAAGAGGATGTACTGTAAGTAGTCTATCCTACTGCTAGTATCAGTGACTGACAGGGCTAGTTCTAACGGTGTATCTACCCTACTATTAGTATCAGTGACTGATAGGGCCGTCTACCCTACTGTTAGTATCAGTGACTGACAAGGCCGACTCTAACGGTGTGTCTACCCTACTGTTAGTATCAGTGACTGACAGGGCCGGCTCTAACGGTGTATGGGGTAAGGCAAGTGACTTAGGCCCCNATATATATAGTACTTTTGTACTTTTTATATAAAAAGAAAGAATTTTTTTTATATATATTAATAAAGTAAAGCTTAAAATACTTTAATTTGATTTGACAACTCTACTTTTTACTCTTCTTCCCAAGTAATCCCAATCCAACATTTCAATTTCATTTCATTCTTCATATTTTAGAAGACATATCTTCTTCATTCCTCTTTATTTATGCTCATCTTCTTAGTTATTTCTATTAGATTTTTTTCTTTCTCCAAAACTCCAACAAGCCAACTAGATATTTTGGAATCAAAGTCTTCAAACTTTTTGAATCAGTCAGTCATTGGATAATATCATTCTAACTTTCTCTAGTGTTATTTTTATTTGTTATTTATTATTTATTAATTTTACTCTGTACATATTATTTATTTAAAAAAAAAATATAAATATGCATCCGGTTATTCAAAACCATCTTGGCACCAATAGCTAGATTCTAGAAAAATAAATTTTAAATAAAAATATATATTATAACATTCTTATAAATGCTTAGGCCCCATATTAAACTTTCGCCTTAGACCCCACGTGAGCTTGAGCCGCCCCTGGTGACTGATTTCACGGCTTAAACCGATGGCTTATAGATCATATGGAGACAACTTTATCATTATTCCAAGATGCACTTTACCTAAGGGGTTTTGGATAAAGTATAGTACTAATTAAAATATCCCAGCTCTTAGGGTCTATCGCAAGCAAGTATTGATCTCTATCGTTAACAGGGTATATATTCCCTCTCGTCAAAAACAAGAGTCTGTATTAACCAAAACTAGATATATACTGTCCACAATTTTACCTACCTTTTGTCTTAAGATCATTGAATCAATTTGTTGGATATATTGTTTCAAGTTTAATTTGAGGTTCAACAACCATTGTCGCCAAGTATACCTGCACAATATAACGTACTATATATA